AAGCATTTAGAGCGATGCTCCGAAGCATTTAAATATGCGCGTGGTATGCGCGGAAGATATCCCCCCACCACCTCAAAAAAAGATCGGAATTTATGAAGCAGGCGGATATTTGGAAAGACTGCATGCGCTGGCATTATTGATGACTCCAAAAGCAAAAACTCATTAAATATGATTACGTTACAAATAAATTTATTTAGTAATAAATTTTACTTATCAAATATATTTCCAAAATAAAGCGGGAAAAAATTTCGTTTAGCGGCATTTTGTTAATCGGGCTTTGGTATCCGATAATTCGACATCATCACAGTCCGTAAGGAATTATTGAACTTTTCTTTTAATTGGTTACCTTAGCATATGTTTGATATTGTTACATTTTACGGTTTCGCGGATTTGGAGTGATGGATGACAACACTTGATTAAGAATGAAAACAGAATTTATTAGCTAGTATTACTCAGGACAGTTCCAAAAACACGTTTACAGTCGTCGAAAAACCTACGATAAACACGCTGAAAGAAACAGCAACACAGCCTTCAGGCTATAACGGTGAAGGCAGCTTCACGGCAAAGCACTAAAGTACAGCTCCCGACTCAGTCGATCGCTCCCGGACACTGCTATTGGACTCTACTCTTCAAGATACTCTTACGATACTATCTAGATACACTTCACGATAAAACTGACGATACACTGACGATAGACTCAGCGTACAGGCAGCGTTTACGTAGCCTTTTGACCTGCCTTCAGAAACATTCTAGGGAAAACCGGTTAGAAATATTCTCTCTCCGTCTATGGCACATCGCCAATTTTGTCGCCAAACGGGCGATTTCGCATCAAATCTAGCAACCATGTCTCTCCTTGCCATTTTCTGGCAACCCTAAACGCGCTTTTCTGGAAAGCTGTAGTTCGACCTCTCAAACGCAACCTTATCTGGCATTCTGCCAAAACAGATAGACTCGTCCAAAAGGAGGGTTATTACTGGCTGCGACGTGAAACGTCATGTGAAAGTCTTCTCTTCTTCGGAAAGAGAGAATTTATATGCTTGAGGGAAAGAAAGTCCCCATCCTTCCACTCTATTTTGAGAATAATTCGGTCCGAATGGCGCATGCGTGTTTGCGCTCATGGTCGCGGATGAGGCGGTCGAACTATATCTTACCGCAGCTGGGCAATTCGTAACAATGTCCTTATAAATACGGAAAAGGCATAATAGCTGTATCTCTAAGCTCAGTTGGAGGCACAAACTAATATTGACGAAATTTAGAAAAGAAGCTATTTACAAAATCAGTCAAGGTCAATCACCTGTTATTAGCCCAAATTGCATTAGTCTAAAAGCGCTATTGATTTCGTTTTGGCATTTTGCGTCGATTCACTATAAACGGCGGGTCTCTTTTGAAATTGTTGCCACCAAATATTATCGTCCTCTATTATATTTAAGGAAATTAAATAATGAAGAATCTTCATAAATCTATGTATGTTTCTCGCATTGTGATAAAAAAACAATGGTACCTAGAGCCATCTAATTTTGAATAACGTAATCCTCCAGCGAACATTGGCATCTGGAAGCCCAATTTGGAATTTGTCTATTATCTACGTCATGTTTTGTCAGACATTAAGAAATTTTTGAAAGAAACTCACCGATTTCAAAGCGAGGAATGGCAAAACTGGACCGAAAAAAATTCATTTCCAGCGCGCGAGACTGAGTATCGGAAAGTCCAGAGATATGCTCATTTTAAAATTGTTTTACGATATTGCTATTGATTTGAATTTTATGGTTTAAATTGCGAAGAGCATAATATTTAATAAATAAAGGTAACACACAAATTGGGGGGGGAAGCTCCTTTGGGCGTAATGTAAAATCTGAAAACTTTTAGATTTTATTAGTTTTGATTGTAATTTTTTTTATTAGTCCAAAGGGATTTGAGTCCCCAAGGACTATTATTTTCGTTTTGGCATTTTGCGTCGGACTCCTATAAATGTCGGTTCACTTTTCAAACTGTTGCCACAAATTTCAAATATATGAGTCCTGCATTATATTTGAAGATATTAAATAATGAAAATTCTCCATAAATATATGTATATTTCTCGCATTGTGATAAAACAACGCCATCCAATTTTGAATAGAGCCATCCAATTTTGAATGACGTAATCCTACTGCGAATATGGGCATCTGAAATCCCAAATTTGAAATTTGGAATATTGTCGCACTGCATTATATTTTATTATGTTATGGAAAATTCTTATGTATTTTTTGTTGTGTATAATTTTTGCGTATTATTTTACTGTGTTGTAAATTTGTATTACTTATATAAATTAGATATTACACTTAGTAAAATTAAGAAGTGATTTATTATTTCAAGGCCAGTTTTGGAATGTTTTAAATTTGTTTCACCTGCTGAGCGAGTCAGAAAATGTTAGTTTCTAATTAACGAGAACTATTAATTTTGAGAATTAAAATATGTTACACCTTGTTAATTTGAGAAAAAAAATGTTATTTATTAATTTAAAATTTTAATTATTGTAAGCTGAAATTTTGTCTAAGAGATGCGATATTTTCATAGTAAAAATATGTGGTAGGGGATGCTGATCAGTTACCCAAGTATTTACTAATAATATAATGTATTCAAGAATTTAATAAATGTGTTTGATTTAGAATTTTTAATTGCATTTGTTTATTTTGTGTGTTAATTTACAGTGGTCTGTCATGTCCCTCCATTTGTTTGAGACGGGAGGCTTTTAATAAACGTGGAGTTTTATTGAATTGGGTTATTGATTTTTCCCTAGTGGACTTCACAACGCGCCCTATTGTACTAAACCAATACCACTATACGATTGATAAGATATGATATACGATTGTTTACTCGATTGATCTTTGATTAATATGAATTTGATTTTTCTTTGATTTATTTTCTTTTTTGTGTCGCGGCACCAAGTAGTCAGCTTAAAAGATACTTAAATGTAAAAGTAATTTTTCCTTTTTTCTACGTAACAATTGTATTATCGATTTCCTATTTTGTAAAATGAATTTTTGAGTAACAAACTCAACGATTTAAAAGTGAGCAGTAGCATCACTCTACGGGGGGAAAAAAAAAACTTTTTATCTCCAGCGCGTCGAATTGTGTATCGGAAATTCTAAAGATATGCTCATTTTGAAATTATTTTGCGACATTGCTATTGAACTAAATTTTATGGTTTAAGTGAAAAGAACATGTATTTAATAAATAAAGGTAACACATAAAACGTTAAAAAAACGCCCCTTTGGACGTAATTTAAAATCTGAAACAGTTCAGATTTTTTTTCTTTCTTTTCTTTTTTTCTTTCTTTTTTTTTAAACTAAAACTTTGGACTAAAGTCCAAAGGGGCAATTTGCCCCAAAGGACTATTAATTTCGTTTTGGCATTTTGCGTTGAAAACTATAAACGACGAATCACTTTTCAGATTGTTGCCAGCAAATATTGTCGCACTGCATTATACTTAAGGGAATTAAATAATGAAGAATCCGCATAAATGTATATATGCTTCTCACATTGTGATAAAACAACGGTACCTGGAGCCATCAAAATTTGAATAACGTAATCTTCCATAGAATATGCCCTAATCTGAATTGGAAACTGTTTTTATTACCGACTTCATATTTTATAACACTTACCGAATTTTTGATTAACAAACTAAACGATTTCAAAGCGAGCAATGACAATACTGTATCAGGTTCTGTGTTCCTCCTTACTTGCTTAGGGAACATGTAACTGTCTTGACTCGGAACAGGGAGCTTACTAAAGCTATGTTCAATAAATTTGGGAAGTAGACAATACACACAGGAAGGGTATACGAAACCCTTTATTTTTCTCTCTTTACAATGATTTCCGGACTTCGGAATACAGAGACCAACCACTTGTGGTCTGAACGTAAGAATATAAAAATATTAACTAAACTCTAACTAAACTAACTTTGGATTAATCAAACAAGTGCCTAACTCCAAGATTGACCGTATATTAACAAAAAAAGCCGTATGTAGTACAGAGAACTGCTAACACTACGATACGTTTAAAATTATCAAGAGGATTAAACCTCTGGCCTTGAAGGCAACCAGCAAACCGAGTAAAACTACTATGGCAAGCGGCCTGCTTCTAATAGCTTCTTCCACTCTCTTGCTTGGCAAAAAGCCACAACTTAAGCACTTGGCGTTAGCAAGACAAATTTGCATAAATAAGTTAAAGCTTTTAATTCTGGCCGGAAGTAGAAAATAAGAAGTGATAGTAAAGATTTAAAATAAAATAAACGTTAGTAAAACTTAGGATCCTTACAACTGTAGGAAAAAAAAATCTCCAACGCGCGAGACTCTATATCGGAAATTCTAAAGATATGTATGTTCATTTGAAAATTATTTTGGATATTGCTGTTGAACTGAATTTTATGCTTTGAGTACGTAGAACATGATATTTAATAAATAAGGGTAACACACAAAACGTTAAAAAAAACCCTTTGGTCGTAATTTAAAATATAAAACCTTTCAGATTTTTTGATTTGCGTTTTTTTCCCTTATATTTGATGAAAGTAAACCACGGATTATTTAAAAAATACTGCATCGAGAATTCTCTTAATTTAGATCGCATAAAGGGGCTCAGCTACAAGCAGTATTATAAATAGTGTTAAAGTAATTTTGATTAATTATATCTGAGAGAAATTATCAGATTTAACACGAAGTAAGAATTCTTTTTAGCTCTAAAAAATCTAAATATTCGAGCTCTTAATTTCTTGCAAAGTAGGAGAGCCGGGAAAAAAAAAAAAAAAAAAAAAAAACAAGTATCAAAAACAGAATCAAAGCGTAAATATTCCTAAATAGCTGATAACCCCATATTTACGGGGCGGGTGGCGCTATAAGCACTCGAGATTGGCCCAGCACGCGCTGGAACATTAAAAAAATTTCTCCTTCTCTCTTAGATCCATAAGCCAATCGCATTTCAACCTGCAAGTGACGTCAGAAACCTAACACGCAGTTCTTTATAGAACGTTAAAATTAAAAGACCTAAGGTTAAATAAACGCAAACATACTCTGGCATTCCCTTCGCCATCGGAAGCAGACCAGCCTTTAGGTGCGAAAGCCCTTTCTATTCTCATGCGGTACCAAAAATTTATTTCAATGCATCGAATTTTATCTCCAGCTGTGAATTATCTGCCGCTGTTGTGAAAGCTGCTCTTCGGATGCGCATTGTGTTGCCATTTCTGTAAAGGGAAAAGTTACTGTATCGAATTTTTTTATTAATCGGTTGAAAAATTTACATTTTCTGAAAGAACAGAAAAGAAAGAAGGTAAATTTAAAACTTTCCTTTGCAGTATGTTTGTATTTGTATACTTCGTTGTTATTTCAGTAGATATTATTTGAAATTTAAATATATATGTTAAATTATTAAAGTACTAAATTAAGGTTAATAAGAAAACTTTTCGATGGTAAAATGGTATTTAATAAATATGAGGACAAATTGATAATCGAAATAATTTTTAAATATTAATATTTACTAACAAAATATTTGAGCTCTGTGTATTATTTATAACTTATTCTTATTTCGAAAATACATTGTTAAAATTACAGAATTCTTTATTATACAGTGGCTTACATTTTTTTGAGCACGTTTTCTTGAAATGTTTTGCATAAATCTTGTACTAAATATTGAAATACAGACTTCAAATGTTTTTCTAAAGCATTATTTTTCGTCTATTTTAAATCTTGCTTATTACAAAATAAATATCATAAAAACATTCCTTTTAAGAAAATAATTTATTCAAAAGTGCTAATTATTATCACTGATAATTCAGACAATCCAAAATTTTATTGAAGTGTTTTGCCATGCTTTGTTTCTTGTCACACTTTTTTGTTTTAAAGGAAAATACATTACTCCATTTATCGTCTGCGTACGAAAATTATTAATTGTTTAGCAAAATACATTAAAGTTTTCATATCCGAAGTGAATATGGCAAAACAACGCAAATTAACAACACGTTATAAATTTAATTATTCGTCATTTAATGATTGTAAAAGTATTCGAAATATACAAAAAATATTTAATTCTAGCGGAAGTACTCGACGCCAGTTAAGTTGATTCAGAGTAATGTATCTAACAACAGAGAGAACGACACCGCTGTAATCCTTCTCTAGTAACGATGCAACAAATAGGAGTCATAGTAGTCATACATTTTTCAGTCTTTTGTGATATGGAACCCGCATAAAAAGTTTCGGTTTAAAAATAAACTTATTCTCTCTCATTATATCAGCAACAATGGCGCGCGGTTTTTAATGATTTTCGTCTTTCTAATCAAATGTTCGTAAAAGCTGAAGTTCCATCCAGTATTTCACCAGTATATTCAATTTTAGTCGATTAAATGTGGCAAAACATTCATCAAAATTGATCGGAAATCAAAAACGCGAATGGAAATCTTACAAATTTTTGATTAACAGACTCTACGATTTGGAAGCGAACAGTAGCAACACTTTCCGAAATAAAACATTTTTATTTCCAACATGGGAGACTGTTGCCAGTCGAGAAAAATGAGTGCGAAAATGAGTGTTTTTAGAGTTTTTAATTAATATCTCGGCTGATTAAAGTCGTACGAAGTTGGTAATAGTCAAAATGGCTTCCCACGAACTTTTAAAATCGGGAATAATATATTTAATGTTTGGTAATGCTATTTTTATTTCATTGCAAAACTTAGAAATACTTTATTTCCAAACTCTACGATTTGAAAGCGAGTAGTGGCAACACTTCTCCAAATAAAGCAGATTTTTATCTCCAGCTTGCAAGACTGTTGCCACTACGAAAAATGAAGGCGAAAATTAGCGTTTTCAGCGGTTTTAATTAGTATCTGTGATTTTAGCTTTTTTTTTCGGGGGGGGGGGGGAGTGGACGTCGACTTTTTTAGGAATCAGGGGGGAAAAAAAAATTGTAAATAAAAAATAAAAAGAAAATCTGAAAGGTTTCAGATTTTAAATTACGTCTAAAGGGGCGTTTTTTTTAACATTTTGTCTGTTAACTTTTTTTATTAAATATCACGTTCTTCGCACTTAAACCATAAAATTCAGCTCAACAGCAATATCGCAAAATAGTTTTAAATTGAGCATATCTTTAGAATTTCTGACAGTCTCACGCGCTGGAGAAAGAAATGTTTCCTCTGTAGAAATGTTTCCTCTGTACAGCGTTGCTATTGCTCGCTTTGGAATTCTTGAGTTTGTTAATCAAAAATTCGTTAAAGGTTTTCAAAATATGAAATCGATAATAAAACGAATTCCGAATTTCAAATTTGGGCTTCCACATGCCCATATTCGCAGTAGGATTACGTCATTCAAAATTCGATGGCTCTATGTACCGTTGTTTTAACACAATGCTAGAAATATACATACATTTATGCAGATTTTTCATTAGTTAATTTTTTAAATATAATGCAGGACTCTTAACATTTGAAGTGAAACGCACATTTATAGTGAACGAACGCAAAATCGCAAAACGGAAACAATAGTCCTTCAGGGACAAAGCCCAAAGCCTCAACTAAAGACTCAACAACTTTTTAGACTAAAAAAACCTGAAAGCTTTCAGATTTTATACGCTCAAAATAAATAAAACTCATAAAACAAATTCCAAATTTTGTCTTCCACAAGCCCATATTCGAGTGGAAACGTACATTATTCAGAATTCGATGGATAGAACCGTACCGTAGTTTTATCACAGTGCGAGAAACATATATACATTTATGCAGATTATTCGTCATTTGATTTCTTTAAATATAATACAGAGTTGTAGTATTTGGTGGCAACAATCGGAAAAGTGATTCGTCGTTTATAGTTTAAACGCAAAATGCCAAAATGAAATTATTAGCCCTTTTGGGCTAACGCCCTTTGGGCTAATAAAGGTAACAAACAAAATGTTAAAAAATGCCCCTCTGTACGTAATGTAAAACGTGAAAGCTTTCGGATTTTTTTTTTTTTTTTTTTTTTTTTTTTTCATTTTAATTTTTTTTGGCCTGAAAATGAAAAAACTCAAATTTATAAAGTCCATTGATTATTTTTGCCGTTTCTCATCGCATCGTCACTTGCTTTGCTATAGTCAAAACTATTCGATCCATCACATGGCGAAAGTTTTATGTAATGACTGAGGCGTGAAGTTACGCAGAGATGACACAGAAACCAGGTTGCCGGAATTACTTCTGTTTTCTCTTTTTCCAGGCTCTCATTAATTGTAGAAATTTCTCTGTTCATGGTGGCGATTTTTTTATTTAATTTTCTCTGTTCATGGTGGCGATTTTTTGATTTAATTTTCTCTGTTTATGGTGACGATATTTTGAGAAAGGATTTTTCTTGATTTTTTTTTTTTTTTTGAAAGAAGCTGCTGTTTCTTTTCTCTCAGATTTTTCTTTCGTTGGCAATAGTTGTTTTAAAAGAGAAAAAAAAATATGTCATTAAATGAGTTCAGCTAGTGCCATTTCCTAAAATATTTTTAACTTTATAAAATCATGAATTAAATATGCATTTTTATTTAAACCAAACAAATTAAAAAGCTAAAATATTATGTTATTAGGAACTGCACTTGTAGCTTTTAAATCGCTTAGTTTACTAATCAATAACAGATAGTTTAAATTTGAAAGAAAAATTATATATCTTACGCTGGATGGCAATACGCTGGCGCATGGAAGGTAACGGTACATCATTTTCGGCAACGATAATAAATTCCCTTTGAATAGCCCAGTTTGTTGATTAAATTTGATAGACGTATGTCTTAGGGCTATGCAAAATGGCAACACATTCCTTTTAAATCGCCGAGCTTTCTAAATAAATTTGAATTGTAAATCTCTTCCGTTTTGCCAATTGGCAGCAAATTGTTTATTTTCTCCTCACCCAACGGGGGGCCGTTTATAAGCGCTGGCCACTACTGAAGCCGGAAGATGTGGCCACCTTATTATGGAGGCATCTAAATGGGTGGGCCACCGTTGCCTTCTATGAAGGGACGAACAAACTACATCCATTACTTCTCTGGGGTTCGAACCCGGGCCCTTCGGTACCGTATTCAGAGTCTCTGACCTTTTTCCAAACCGGGGAGTTTTTTAATTAAATTTGAAACACAGATATCTTACTTTTTGCCGAATTGCTCTTAGATCTCTGAGTTCATTAATCAAAATTTCATTAAGTTTTCACAAAACATAAAATAAATAAAAACGAAATCGAAATTAAATATTCGAGCTTAGGTGTGCACATGTCCGGGTGATTGTCACATATCCAAAATTTAGTAGCTCTTGCCGCACTTCGAGGAACATACGTACTTGCATATATACGTACACTGCGGAAAAAAAACCTGATGGGTGCACCACATGACTTCCTTGTACGGAATATTAAGTTATACCCATGTTTTCTTGCATATCATTTAAACTTATTGGATTGAATTAAATCTACTTCGTCGATAGCGCACAAACCACAATAGAATAAATGCACTCTTTAAAATTCACTATATTTGTTTACCATAGCGACACTCTGGCCCTAGGTTCACTTAACAGCGTTATATTTCATTCATTTTTTTAACTCAAAATGCACAAAATTTATATCATCTTAAGAATTACCAAATCGTTGCCCCACGTTCTATTCAAATACTATAATAGATCTAAAACGATTTGTAAAACAAATTAAGCAAAGAACAACAACAACAAAAATTGACTAGCATAATCTTGTAATTGATTAAAATTATTATGCTAATCTCATGCATTTCCACACGTGTTACATCTATGGCTACAGCTTCCATTGGTAAGGCGATATCTGCAGCTACTATACTCCGAAGATTACATATGAGTGGACTGTACGCCCGGGTACCTCGAGTTTACGTTCCTCTATCAATCATGAGGGGCACGATTACAGTGGTGCCGGGAACATGTCAATTGGAATGTGTCTGACTGGGCCAGGGCTCACCAGCGGCCGAGCGGTAAAGTCGCTGAACACTGGTAGTTCGGTCCGAGGTTCGAATCTCGCGAACGGGCTGGCTGCATGGGCGTTTTCGGGGTTTTCCTCATGTGTAACGTGTATACGAGCCAGTTTTCCTTAGAAAGTCCTCCACGAAGGCATCCCATCTCTTAGGCAGATAGCCCTAGTGTGCTTTGCCATAATTAAATAAACCAAAAAACCAAACCAAACCAAACTGACTGGGGCAATGTCATGTTTACTGATGAGTCAAGATTTGCTCTGGAGGCAGATGACTAGCGTATAAGGATATGGCGTGAACAACGAACACGCAATCAGTCCCAAAACATCACCGAACATTACGCATTCCGAGGCGGAAGC